AATAAATGGAAAAAAAAAAAAAGAAAAAAAAAAAAGCAACAGGGAGCAAAGGTTAAAGTAGAAGAAATAGATCCAACAGGGAGTCGGATTCTGTCCTTCCCTGTTACAAAAATGCTAGTTACACCAGAACAGAAACTGCAGTCTTAGCCACATATGTCCGAGGAGCTAATAAAATCACCCAGCGAGTGTATGGTTGAAGCAGAGTAGTTGGGCTAGGCAGGGAGAAGATAACATTCTTAAATCTGCATCAAGCTGACAATCTGGTTAGAAACAAATGTCTAAGAAACAGTCAGGAAATTTCTAAGCAATGCTGCTGATAACTCAAACTCTGACAATCATAACTTAGGTGTCTCTATTGAAATGCATTAGTGGTGCCACTGTTTTTTTAAGTAATAGAACACTCAGCCAAGACTCAAGCAAACTGAAATACTGAATAAGAGAAAGCACACATGAGCTTCTGGAGGCTGCAGGTCATTTTCAAAGGTGGGGGACCAAGCCTTGCAGCTTTGATCTTTCAGTACTGAAACAGAACTTGAGATGATTCCCTTCCTCTCTGTGAGGCAAGCGCAGAGAAAAAGAAAGAGAGCCAGGCAGTGAGGCAAGAAACGGGAAATTTATTAGAGGGAAACAATAGGATGACTGACCCTGAAGGAGAACCAGCGTCCTCACTTTCTGACAGGGTCTTTCTTATACCCAGCCAATGAAAAATTCTCTGAAGGGATGGTTAATTATTAGCCTGCAGTTGCGTCCTGTGTGATCACGTAGCTGGAGGTCTGGAATCTGGTGGTCTTGTAGCTTTGAGATTGTAGGCGCCAGTGAGAAAATAGAATGTTGTTTGGGCAATTTGGTCAGTCTCAGTGGTCACTGATTTTATTCTTTGTTTGCAAGGTCAACATAATGAGCCATTTTAACCGTGAACCCCCATGAGGACCATATCACTCTCCCTGCCTCACTCTGAAGGGGGCCCCTGGGGAGGGGCAGCCAGGAAGATTCCTCTGCTCCTTCGTAGTTCATCCGCTGACAGATGAAAGAGGAGGAGCCCAAGTTTGAAGTCACAGCCACAGGAAACACAGCCTGGTTGGACACGTGGTGTCAACTTTTGAACCTTTCCAGAGTCTTCCAGTTGGTGGTGGCTTATTAGTTCCGTGTTCCTTACCAGAACCTACTGTTGTAAAACAACTCGTGCAAATGGTTACTATGGTGCTTGGCTAGGCTGGGCGGTTTCAGTCAGTGCGCTTCCCCTAACATAATCGCTAAAAGGATGCTGTCTGTAATTGTGTGTGTGTGTACATGCACACTCAGTTGTGTGTGACTCTTTGCACCCCAATAGACTGTAGTCCACCAGGCTCCTCTGTCCATGGGATATTCCAGGCAGGAATACTGGAGTGGATTGCCATTTCCTTCTGCAGGGGATCTCCCCAACCCAGGGGTCGAACTCTCTGTGTCTCTGTGTCTCCTGTATTGTCAGGTATGTTCTTTACCAGCTGAGCCACTGGGAGAAGACCATCTGTAGCTGTGAGCATACAGAATGGCCTGACATAGGAAACCCTGCTTCTTTGCCTACATGTTAAGCTTCAGCTCACAGGGAGACATTCTGACCCTGACCACCAGTGAATGGCTGCAGAAAAGAAGAAATTAATACATTCCCTCCCTACTATGGCCAAGCCAGGAGATATTTGCAAGATTTATGGCCTTTTTACTTAACTTTTTTTTTCACTCCACACCCCCCTTTTCCTAGAATAGAAACTGGAATCTAGACCCAGATAAGATGGTACTCTGGACATTAGTCTACCATATTGTCAAACACCCAGCTTTCCAAATAAAGTCGCTATTCCTTGCCTCAATACCTCGGCTCCAAATTACTGGCCTGTCATGTGGTAAGCAGATCAAACTTGAATTCAGTAACATTAAGGCTTTGACATGTAAATTTTGGGAAAAATCAAAATTTGGGGGATGTTAAGCCCATAACATCTTCCATCTACTTGATGACACTGTGCTGCTGGAGACTGGAAAATAAAAACAAAAACAGCACACAACAAAAGTTGAGAATTTTGTTTTGTTCAGATTTTCTGAGGATTCACATACTTAGGCCACCTGATGCAAAGAAATGACTCCTTGGGAAACACCCTGAGCTGGGAAAGATTGAGGGCAGGAGGTGAAGGGGATGACAGAAGATGAGATGATTGGATGGCATCACTGAATCAAAGTACATGAGTTTGAGTAAACTCTGGGAGTTGGTGATGGTCTGGGAGGCTTGGCGTGCTGCAATCCATGGGGTCACAAAGAGTCAGACACAACTGAGCGACTGAACTGAACTGAACTGAACTGAGGACTCAAATCCAAAAGGCAGCCTCTCAAATAGCTTTGAGGAGCTGCTCTGAAGAGGTAAAGAGCAAGGATACATAGAAGTTTCTGTGACAAAAACCAGTTAGTTGGAACATCAAAAGATTATTGTTAAAGAAGCTAAGGAATTTAACACTTTTCAATGCATGGGAACATACATACAAGAGTCTGGGCTGACTGAAATCATTGCTTTCACATGCACCTCTGCTATCTGGGGCCTGCGTCCTGTGTTTTCTCATCTTGAGTCCCCACAGGGCACACACAGGGAGCAGCTGCAGTGCACTAGGGCTTGGCAGTGAGCAGCCTATCTGTCTCCATCCTGACTTCCATCAGGATGCACCGTATGGTTAACTGCAGCAGCTGACTGCTACATGGTAAGTGTTCTTTGCTTCCAGCCTGATAGCATCTAGGCCTACTGGTAGGGGGACTGTAGTGGCTTGAGGGCTGCAACATCCCTTATTTGCTAATGTGGCAGGCAGCATTTTTTATTTATGCTGCCAAGTTTATTTTGATGTGGCTTGTGCCCAGGTAGATACGGGCAGATGGGCAGCTTGTGGACACAGCTGCCTTCTCCTAGTGCCCTCTTTTCCCTTGCTCTCTCTCTCTCTCTGTCTCTGTTTCTCTGTCTCTCTCCCTAGAGAACCTAAAATTAGACACTCATATGAGCACCGCACTGTCCTTCTCTTTTTCTGTTCTCCTCACAATCTCAGTAAGAGGATTTTCTTTACATCATTTTGTCACGTGAGTGTATGCTCCTCAGTTCTTTGTCTCATCACAACAAAAATTTGGAGTGACGGACATTGATGCCCCCTTGGCGGGTCACAGCTGTTGGAGGACACACCGTGTTATATAAATAAATAAATCAGTGTTACAGCTCTATTTATTTAGATAATAGCAGGAAAATCCATCTTCGAGGCATGAGAGCACGTCGATCCAAAGACATAAAGAGATCGCCCCATCATGTGGGAGAGAAAGAGAGAGAAGAGGGCTTTGGCTCCTCTTTTTATATGTTTTTTTGTTCCCCCTGGGCCTGTCCTATGCAAATTGGGCGTAGGCAGGAGCATTGTTTGTTTTACCTGAGGTTCTCACTCCGGTCCTCGGACCTTCCTTTGTTCTATTTTTGCGGGCTTTCCCCTTCCAGGTCTTTTAGCCACCGCCATTTTGGATTCCTTCCCTATTCTAACTACCTAACAATTTCTTCTGACTTCCTCTCCTCCTTCTGATTCTAGCTAAGACTTAAGAATAGATAGCAGTTCCTTCTGTACACGAAAAAATATCCATGAGCTACATTCTTCTAAATTGGTTGTTGATCAGATAGTACTCTGACAATGGAGTTATTGTCTTGTTGCATAGTCTTATTTCACAATAATAAGTTTAAGCCTACTTAGATAATATATATTTATGTGATTCATTTTGTATGTGACTAAAACAAAAATAATCACAAGGAGAAATAAAAGATTTTATATGTATACAAAGTAAAGTAGAACTTGCAACTGAAGCCATTCTATTTAATGTAACAAGGAGGTAAATGTTTCTCATTTAGATTCATAAACTCTTATATTAGGTAAGTGCTTATCAGCTTGCATTGATCCAGGGAATTGTTAAACCAAAAAGAGCAAGTTGAATGAGCTACAGAGAAATTCTTAAGCAGAAGCACTGATTTTCTTCTTACACAGTTATCTTTGATTGCCAGTAAATCTTAGAGATGATTAAAACAAAAAGGAGGTAAGAGTTTTTAGAATATATAAACCTTGTCAGCAAATGGCTGAAACTCACTAAAGGTCACTTAATGCTCCTATGGATCCAGAACATGGAAATCATTTCTTTCCTCCTAAGTTCTTACCAGGTGTCCAGAAGCTACAAATATTCCTGAATTTTTAATAAGGTATCAATTTTCATATTTTGTGAGTTCTCTATTCTATGGGACCTCTAGCTAATGGAATTCTTCCTCTAGGCAATCTTTTAATAGAAAAGATATTCTTTACATTTCCTTGTCATTTCTGGTTCCAATTAATGAGCCAGAAGCATAAATGACCATGCATTTTTCTTTATTTATTTTATAATGTTTAGTGAGTATCTGTGTTCCAGATAATGCTTTCAGTTCTGGAAACACAGCGACTGAACCACAAACTATACTCTTAAGGGCCTCACTTTCTAGCGGGGATGGCAGGGAAAGGAAAAACTGGTTTCTCTTCAGTGAGATGAGTGCCTAGGTAGAAATAATTATGAGCTAGAGTGAGAAAATAAAGGAAAGGGCAGGGAAGGCAGCACAGAGGAGGTGTCACATGTGCTGTGTCTTGACGGATGAGTAGGAGTTTTCCAGGTTGACAGAGGGAAGAACCTTCGGAATAGTCTACAATGTGTGCTAAGGCAGAGAGTTTGAAAAAGCATGAGTCCGAGATCACATTTTTATTTTAGTTATGTTCTGCTGACTCTAGGCAAAATCAGAATCATTTTATCTTTGGTAAGTTGTAATTTCTAAAAACTTGAAACCAGTGGCACATTTTATGTATTTTCATACATTGGTCTTCGAGAGTGGAGTTCATCCTTAAATTCAGAATGAAGTTCAGTTTCATCTAAATGTTTTACATTATATTTACCTTCCACTAGTGTTAAAACAAAGATAAAAACAATTACATGCTTCCTTTCTGTCTCAGATGGTAAAAAAAAAATGTTTCCTGCAATGCAGGAGACCCAGGTTCAATCCCTGGGTTGGGAAGATCCTCTGGAGAAGGAAATGGCAACCCACTCTAGTATTCTTGCCTGGAGAATTCTATGAACAGAGAAGCCTGGCAGGTTACAGCCCATGGGGTGGCAAAGAGTTGGACACGACTGAGCCACTAACACTTCAGGGCTTCCTGTTGGTTCAGGCAATAAAGAATCTGTATAAAGTGCAGGCGACCTGGGATCAATCCCTGGGTATGGAAGATCCCCTTGAAAAGGGAAACGCAACCCATTCTAGTATTCTTGTCCAGAGAATTCCACGGATGGAGGAGCCCAGTGGGCTACAGTTCCTGGGGTCCCAAAGAGTTGGACCCAATTGAGCAATTAACACAATGTACCAAGAAGGAGAGGTGCCTGTGTCACAGCACTCGCTTTGCCCAGAAATAAGCAGTTTTAGGAAACGTGTCCTGGTCTGAAGTAGGGTGGCTTCTCTTTCTGGTCTCTCTCTGACAGCTGGGGGAGGAGGACCTCTCTGCTCTGTTCCTCCCTGTCTTCCTGCATCCACTTGAGGAGGAGCTGCTGCTCTCATATATAAATAAATCCAAGAAATTCCACTTCCTTCACCAGTGGTGAGAAAGCTTTAAGTTAAAAATACATGCTAATCCAGAAATATTCTCCTTTGCTCTTCTATTTTAGGTAACTGAGTTAGGCAATTCACCGACAAACTCAACAGTTCTACCTGTGATTTTCTCACCTAATAGGTTGTCAAGTCCTTCCAAGATACAGATGTAGGCGAGGAGAGGGTGGTGTGGTAAAAGGTTACGCTTAGCCCCAGCCACTGAGCCTCTGCCAGATATCTGCTTTTGTGGTCACTGGTCACCGACTCCATGATCACTAAGTGGTACCTTGTTTTCCATTTGCTTTGTTTATAGAATTACCTTGGGAAACTTATGGGGAGAAGGGAGAAGGAGGGATGACTGGCAGATTTGGGGCATTTTTGCATTTAGTACCGCCAGATACTATTAAGCATACGCTTTTAATTCCTAACTTTCTGCTACACTGTCAGCGGGCTGGAAAGTGAAATAATGCAGCTAGCCTCTAGAAACCAAATTGCATCAGGGGAGGTAAGGGCAATATAGGGTCAGCAGACGGAGGCCACGCTTCAGATAATCAAGAGAAGAAATCGGGGCTGGGGAAAATATATCTGGAATTTGCTGAGGTTTGGGGAAATATGAACTCATATTGTGAATATGTTACTTCATGTAACCCTTTAGTGAATATTAAAGATTGCCATTAGTTAAAAGAATGCCATTAATCCAGAAATTCCAGTCTGAGGTATTTATCCTTCAAATATACTTGCATAAGAAGTTAAATTTTTGTGTATGAAGATCTTCATTGCAATTCTGTAAGACTGAAAATAACCCAGATAATAATAGTAAATTGGTTAAAAATGACACAATAATGTATGATGCATTGTGCAAAGGAATATTAAACAGACATTGAAAAGGATGATTCTATGTGGTCATATTTACTGTGCAGAAATTTGTTATTAAATAAAAAAGCAAGGAACAAAGCACTTGTTGTTGTTGTTCAGTCATCCAGTCATGTCTGACTCTTTGTGACCCCATGAACTGCAGCACACCAGGTCTTCCTGTCCCTCACCACCTCCCGAAGTTTGCCCAAGTTTATTTCCATTGCATCAGTGATGCCATCTAGCCATCTCATCCTCTGATGCCCTCTTCTCCTTCTGCCCTCAATCTTTCCCAGCATCAGGGACTTTTCCCATGAGTCAGCTGTTCGTATTAAATAACCGGAATACTGAAGTTTCAGCTTCAGCATCAGTCCTTCCAATGAGTGTTCAGGGTTGATTTCCCTTCAGATTGACCAGTTTGGTCTCCTTGATGTTCAAGGAAATCTCAAGATGTTCAAAGGCATCAATTCTTCAGTGGTCTGCTCTTTAAAGTCCAATTCTCACAACTGTACATGATCACTGGAAGACCATAGCCTTAACTATATGGACCTACATTTGTCAGCAGAGTAATGTCTCTGCTTTTCAACATACTGTCTAGGTTTGTCATAGCTTTCCTGCCAAGAAGCAAATGTCTTCTGATTTCCTGGCTACAATCACCATCTTCAGTGATTTTAGAGCCCAAGAAGAGGAAATCTGTCACTACTTCTACCTTTTCCCCCTCTATTTGCCAAGAAATGGGACTGGATGCCATGATTTTAAGGTTTTTTGTTTGTTTGTTTTTTAATATTTAGTTTTAAGCCTACTCTTTTTTTTTTTAAGCCTACTCTTTCACTCTTCTCCTTCACCCTCATCGAGAGGCTCTTTAGTTCCCCTTCGCTTTCTGCCATTAGAGTGTGTATCATCTGCATAGCTGAGGTTGTTGATGTTTTTCCCACCTATCTTGATTCTAGCTTGTAACTCATCCAGCCTTGCATTTCTCATGATGTACTCAGAGTATAGATTAAACAAACAGGGTGACAGCAGACAGCCCTGTCAAACTCTTTTCTCAATCTTGAACCAATTAGTTGTTTCATACAGGGTTCTAACTGTTGCTTCTTGACCCACATACAGGTTTCTCAGGAAACAGGTAAGATGGTCTGGTATTTACGTCTCTTTAAAAGCTTTCCACAATTTATAATGATCCAAATAGTCAAAAGCTTTGGAGTACCTGAGGAAACAGAGATAGGTGTTTTTCTGGAATTCCCTACCTTTCTCTATGATCCAGAGAATGTTTGAAATTTGATCTCTGGTTCCTCGTCCTTTCCTAAATCCGGCTAGGACATCTGGAAGTTCTTGGTTTGCATAATGCTGAAGCATGCAAGATTTTAAGCATGACCTTACTAGCATGCTTTAAGAATAGACCTGTTTAAGCATAGATCTCTGTCTTTAAGCATAGAGCTTACTAGACCTGGACATGGAACCATAGACTGTTCTGAATTGGGAAAGGAGTATATCAAGCCTATATATTGCCCTTCTGTTTATTTAACTTATATGCAGAGTACATCATGCAAAATGCCAGGCTGGATGAAGCACAAGCTGGAGTCAACACTGCTGGCAGAAATTTCAATAACCTCAAATATACAGGTTACACCACCGTTATGGCAGAAAGTGAAGAACTAAAGAGCCTCTTGATGAAAGTGAAAGAGGAGAGTGAAAAAGCTGGCTTAAAACTCAACATTCAAAAAACTAATACCATGGCATTTGGTCTCATTACTTCATGGCAAATACATGGGGAAATAATGAAAACAGTGTCAGACTTTATTCTGGGGGGCTTCAAAATCACTGCAGATGGTGACTGCAGCCATGAAATTAAAAAATGCTTTCTCCTTGGAAGAAAAGCTATGACCAACCTAAGCAGCATATTAAAAAGCAGAGACATTACTCTGCTGACAAAGGTCCATCTAGTCAAAGGTTTGCTTTTTCCAGTCATCATGTATGGATGTGAGAGTTGGACTATAAAGAAAGCTGGGTGCCAAAGAATTGATGCTTTTGAACTTTGGTGTTGGAGAAAACTCTATAGAGTCCCTTAGACAGCAGGGTGATCCAATCAGTCCATCCTAAAGGAAATTAGTCCTGAATATCCTTTCGATGGACTGATGTTGAAGCTGAAACTCCAATACTTTGGCCATCTGATGCAAAGAGCTGACCCATTGGAAAAGACCCTGATGCTGGGAAAGATTGAAGACAGGAGGAGAAGGGGATGACAGAGAATGAGATGGTTGGATCACCAACTCCATGGACTTGAGTTTGAGGAAGCTTCAGGAGTTGGTGATGGACAGGGAAGCCTAGCATGCTGCAGTCCATGGGATTGCAAAGAGTTAGACACGACTGAGTGACTGAACTGAATTGAACTACTAGCATGGGAGATGAGTGCAATTGTCCAATGGTTAGCACATTCTGTAGTACTACCCTTCTTGGGAATCAGTATGAGGATTGACCTTCATGGATCACTGCCTTGTCATGGTGAAGGGGATTGTGTAACTCGATGAAGCTATGAGCCATGCCGTGTAGGGCCACCCAAGATAATGGGTCAGAGCACAGAGTTCTGAGAAAACGTGATCCTCTGGAGGAGAGAATGGCAAACCACCCCAATATACTTTCTGTGAGAATCTCATGAACTGTATAAAAGTACAAAGCACTTGCAATAGGTTCCTATTTATATAAAAACAAAAAAATATGTGTATGCTTCCATATAAAAAGTTCAAGAAAAAATACATTTTATAAATATGCAATACTGTTCACAGTAGACACACTTGAGAAATATGTAGAGTGCATATTTTTTATTTTTTTTAAAAGTGTATTTATTATTTATTTATTTATTTATTTATTTAATTTTTAAAATAAAAGTGTATTTTTTAAAAATTAAGTTTATGCATTGCCTTTATGATAAGATAGTTGTAAGAGTTCATAGGGTAGGCTGCAAGTGAAAATAATAGCATAAAATTTAACATTATATTAAACAAACTGTACAGATTTGGTTAATTACCCTTTCTTGAAGAGATTTCTTTGCTTGTCTTCTATGACATCACTCTTAAGTGACATGTATTTTTCATGTAAATCCCTTGTCATTCCTGATTCTTCTGTTACCATTGTCTCTTCCCGTTTCTAGCAAAGATTTGTGTTGGACCTATTTACTCCCCTCAATGTACAGAGTTTATCCAGATATACTCCAGATCTACCCTCCCTCTGACTTCACTTACATCTCCATGCTGATGGCTCACAGATTTATTTGTCAGTGCAAACTCCTTTTCTGAATCTCAGATCAATACATTTAGTTCCCTCCCAAAATAATGTTTCTCAGGAGAGAGACTCAGGAGGGAGGGGATGTATGTATGCGGAGAGCTGGTTCGCTCTGTCGTACAGTAGAAACTAACACAACATTGTAAAGCAATTATAGTTCAAAAATAGTAAGTGAAAAAAATCATGTATCTCACATTCAATGTGCACAAAAATACCCTCTCACTCTCAATTAATCCTATTCATCACCAGTATTTTTCTTCTCAGTGAAATCATTAAAGATCCCCAGGAGACACCAGACAAATGTCGTTGCTTACACAAGGAATGCGGGTTTCTCAGCAGAAGTGGTCTCGGAGGGCAGAAGACACGGAAGACGGGCTTTGGTGAGGTGACTCTGGAGACGGTTCACACAAGTTGTTCTGGTTCTGTATTGGGTGTATTCATTAGGGCGGGTCTGTAACCGGGTATCTTAATACTTCATATATATGGGGCAGGAGGGATGGAGTAGGCAGGAGGATGCTATGGTTGGTGGAGAGGCAACAGTCATGTACTCATGTTTGCTGGAAGGAGGTGATGATGCTTGACCATTTATTTGGGTTGTATGCTGTTCTTACTCTGTCTGTGCTCAGTCAT